TCTCCTGTTATATAGTTATGAAACTTCTGCACATTATTATTATACAGGATTTATATCGCGCCAACAGTTTGCTCAGCGCTTTACAAAATGAAGGTAGACATTACAGTTACAATACAATTTGGTACAAGAGGAAACAGAGGGCCCTGATCCTGGGAGCTTACAATCTAGGAGAATGATATATGTTCTGAAGTGTGCTATTGTTCTTATACTTGTTTGATTCTGCTGAGGAACTATAAGTCCCAGAATGTTGCAAGCCAGCTAGGAAGGTTTGCACAAAAGAAGTCTTGCTCCAATACAATACTTGGCCAAAGGACTGTGGACACCTGACCATCACACCTTTATAGGCTCGATGGACATCCCAGTCCAAAAAACATGGGCAGTAATATGTACAATCTTCAACTCCCCCCTTGTGACCATAACAGCCTCCACTCTTCTGGGAAGTCTTTCCACAAGATTTTGGAGTGTATTTGTGGGAATTTGTGCCCATTATTCCAGCAGAGCATTTGTGAGGTCAGGTACTGAGGTTGGACGTCAAACAGAACAAAAATGACCTATTGGGTGCTCCACCCTCAAACAGCCCTCCAGACGTACACTCACTGGCCACTTTATTGGGTCCACCTTGGTAGTGCCAAGAAAATCCCCCTCACAATTACACCAACACCACCAGCTGAACCGTTGATACAAGGCAGGATGGATCCATGCTTTCATGTTGTTTACACCAAATTCTGACCCTACCATCTGAATGTCGCAGCAACCAGTCTGCCCATTCTCTCCTCTGACATCAACAAGGCATTCTCCTAAACACAACTGCCGCGCACTGGATGTTTTCTCTTTTTGGACCATTCACTGTAAACCCTAGAGATGGTTGTGCGTGAAAATCCCAGTAGATCAGCAGTTTTTGAAATATTCAGACCAGCCCATCTGGCACCAACAACCATGCCACATTTAAAGTTGCTTAAATCCCCTTTCTTCCCCATTCTGATGCTCAGTTTGAACTTCAGCAAGTCGTCTTCACCACATCTAGATGCCTACATGCATTGAGTTGCTGCCATGTGATTGGCTGATTTGTGTTACCAAGCAATTGAACAGGTGGATCTAATAAAGTGGCTGGTGAGTGTATATGTGTCCTATATGCATAACACGCCTAATATAACAGTGAATGGAATAGATGGACAAATTATTATTATCATTATTATACAGGATTTATATTGCGCCAACAGTTTGCTCAGCGCTTTAAAATATATAGGGAGACAATACAGCAACAATACAGTTCAATACAGGAGGGTTAGGAGGGCCCTGCTCCTTGGAGCTTACAATCTAAGAGGGAGGGGCTAGTGGTACAAAAGGTAGTAACTGTGGGGGATGGACTCGTAGGAGGATAGAAGATTCCATTATTAGCTGAGGGCAGGATAGGGTTCCCTGAAGAGAGAGGTTTTCAGAGATCGCCTGAAAGTGAGCAGAGTAGGCGATAGTCTGATAGATTGGGGTAGAGAGTTCCAGAGGATGGGGGAAGCTCTGGAGAAGTCCTGGAGACGAGCATGGGAGGAGTAGACAAGGGAGCTAGAGAGCAGGAGGTCGAGCGAGGAGCGGAGAGTACGGTTTGGGTGATATTTGGAGACAAGATTGCTGATGTAATTTGGGGGAGAGTTATAAATGGCTTTATATGTTATTGTTAATGTTTTGAATTTTATCCGTTGAGCAATGGGAAGCCAGTGGAGGGATTGGCCGAGAGGGGTGGAGGACACTGAGTAGAGGCCAGTGGAGGGATTGGCTGAGAGGGGAAGAGGACACTAAGTAGAGGCCAGTGGAGGGATTGGCTGAGAAGAGTGGAGGACACCGAATGGAGACCAGTGGAGGGATTGGCCGAGAGGGGTGGAGTATGATTTAAAAAAAAAAAAAAAAAACTCCGTCACATACACCATCAGATAAAATCTAATCATTCTCAGAGAATCGCCCAGTACCAAACAGCAAGTCAGCTGTACAACTTAGAGGCCTCTCTTTCTCCCTTTTTCATCCTTCCTGCTTACAAGCTGCATAGGAATTATGTCATCCCATGGAGCCAATCAAGATGGCCAAAGATGGTGACTACTGAAGAAGATGGGGTGAAGATGTTGGTGCTGGTGGAGGCTGCTTGATGTTCCATCACTGCTCAGCTCTGTTCTCCTCGATAGCCGTTATGCCAACAGCCGACCACTCCTATCATCTCTGGGGACTATCCGTTTCCTTCCTCTGTTCCGGGATCAGCCTCCTATACATAATATGTATAAAACATGGCTGCTAGAAGCCAGCAACAGCTTCGTATGCACTGTACCTGACTTTTCTGGACTGGAGCAGTGCAGTTTGGTCACCTACCTGCCCATAGCCTGTAACTGGACGTTTACACCCCGGTCACATCAAGCCGGACTTTGAAATTGTGCGACTTACAGTGAAGTTGCACAATTTCAAAGTCGGGGGACATGCCTATTTCAGGTACAGACACAGATGTCTGCAAACTGCACCAAAAGTAGTGCATGCGCTACTTTAGAAATCAAGGCGGCTCTGACCAAGTCGAAACCGCACCTATATGACCGATGTAATTGCAGACAGTAGGGTGAGACTTGGCATGCGATTTGCAAGTTGCATAGCATGCAAATCGCATTCCAAGTCGCACCCGATGTGACCGGGGACTTAAGGAGCCGCAGCACACTTGATTAGCTCATTCATCTGCTCTCTCTGTCAGAATGTTCCTTGGCAACACATGAGCACTAAAGCACACCTGATTGGCACGTAGCACTGCCCTCCCTCTCCCACCTACTGTATGACTACAGTTACAACATAGATATTTGTATCAGTCTTGTAGTGACAATTTCTGTACAAGAAGTCAATTTAATAAAAAAAAAAACTTGTAATTTTGGAGATTTTTTTTGGCTGATGGATCCTATGATTAACCCAGCCCTGAATACGTAATATCATATTTTATGATGTAATGCTATGATTGTTAGCACTGCATCTACGTTACAGGATTGTCGTAATAAAAATGTGTGGATTCTATTCTTTATACGTCAGTAATAACTATCTGAATTGAGAACAACACATACCCCCCCCCCCCCCCACCAACCTTCTCTTCTAACAGCCGTAGACTTTCCACCCCCTGACTGGTAAAAACTTAACTTTTACCACTATAGAATTTATAGAAAAACCGTTTTTTCCTGTTCTACGTCTGCTTTACAATGGATGGGAACACTTTTGTTACTGATAATACATAATGATCATATTGTGATGGTCAATGTATCAAGATGTTTGTAAACCTAGAATTGTAATGATAGAATTGCTTATTCACTGTTGGCACCCCACAGTTCCCCCAATGACTTGCATATTTTTCTTTCTTCAGGCTGAGAAGAAGCAACAGCTGGTGGCCGTCATAAACGCCATGGAGGAAACGGTGGCGTCCATAGAATCTCAGAAAGAAGAGGAGCCCACCCCACCACCCTCCCAGCAACCCACAGATCCTGCCTCCCCCACTGTGGCCACCACCCCTGAGCCTGCTGTTGCTGATGCTGGAGACAAGACTGCCTCTAAATCAGCTGATGATGAAGCAGAGTATGAGGTATGAAGAAGGGTGCTTGTTATTAAAAAAAAAAAAAAAAAAAATGGTTACTATCGCTTTAAAGGCTAAGTTCACCTATTTTTTCCATCTAAATTCTTGCTCCCCTATAAACCAATATACCATTAATGTTAGGGATGCACCTACATATGAGCAAGCGTAACATATTGGCCGATAATAGTGTTTGCTGATTTGAAAAAAAAGTGCCAATACATGCAAAGTTGTGTCTCATAGTCTTTCATGCGAAACACCCCCCCAGTGACTTCAATGCAAAATGGCATCTCCTAGGCTTTCATGCAAAATTGCGAACCCATTGACTTCAATGCAAAAACGCCCACTAGTGACTTCAATGTAAAATTACATCTCATAGACTTGCATGCAAAATTGCGTCCCCATTGAATTCAATGCAAAAAGCCCCCTAGTGACTTCAGTGCAAAGTCACCTCCCATAGAGACTAATGCAAAAATGCCCTGTAGTGACTTCAGTGCAAAATTGCTAGCAACATTATTTACATTTAACCACTTGCCCTCCAGAGGATTTACCCCCCTTCCTTTTGCGATACAGGGCTGCGTTACTTTAACTGACATTTGCGCGATCATGCAGCGCTGCACCCAAATGTCCCTTTTTCCTACAAATAGAGCTTTCTTTCGGTGGTATTTAATCACTTGTTCATTTTTTATTTTTTGCACTATAAACAAAAAAAGTCCGACAATTTTGAAAAAAAAAAAACAATATTTTTGACTTTTTGCTATTAAACATGTCCAAAATGTTAAAAATATAATTTCGTCATAAATTTAGGCCAAAATGTATTCTGCTCCGTGTCTTTACTAAAAAAAAATCCCAATATGTGTAAATTAATTGGTTTACGTGAAAGTTATAGCATTTACAAATGGCGATATGTGTACTGGAATTTTTTTTTTCTAGTAATGGCGGTGATCAGTGACGTATAGCAGGACTGCGGCGGGCATTCTGACACTGGGGGGGAACTGACTTGATGTCACTGACATCCCCAGTAAAACCAATACAGTGATCAGTGCTAATAAAAAGCACTGACACTGTACTAAAGGTACTGGGCCGGAAGGGGTTAACTTGTGGGGCGATTAAAGGGTTAACTGTGGGTGGCACTGCACTTTTAGCACTGGGCAGGAAGGGGTTAACATGTGGGGCGATCAAAGGGTTAACTGTGGGCGGCACTGCACTTTTGGCACTGGGCAGGAAGGGGTTAACATGTGGGGCGATCAAAGGGTAACTGTGGGTGGTACTGCACTTTTGGCACTGGGCAGGAAGGGGTTAACATGTGGGGCGATCAAAGGGTAACTGTGTGCTGTTTCACTATGTATGCTGTGTGTGTGTTTCACTGTAAGCACACTGCTTTGTATGGCTCTGCTTTGCATTTCTTCTTTCTTCACTTACCTTGGAGCTGATGGGAGAGATCTGTATTGTTTACATAACTGTCTCTCCCCCGTTGGAAATCCTCGGAGATTGGCCGCTGCCAGCAGGGGATCACTATCCGGGATCGGTGATTGACAGCTGAGGCCACGAATGGCGGTGCGCACGCCCCCTACCCGGAACTGTAAAATCACATTTATATATATACGTGATTTTGCGCACCCACTCCGCCCTGTAGCAGTATTTCTGCTATAAGGCGGAAGTGGTTAAAAAAAATTGTAAAAACGGTCTGTTTCCGTTTCGGCCAAGTGCATCTTGAGTTTTCGGTTTCAGCACCAGAATTTTCCTTGTGGTGCACCACGAATTAAAGTACTTCGGTTGCAGAATAGATAAAGCTTTCTTAGTATTTTAGGTCAGTCTTGCCTGTCCAGCTCCAGCGTTCACCATAGTAAAGTTCATTGCTTCCTGCTATGTACATTTGGAGCTAATCTCCTTTAGCTCTACCATCAACTATGTAGTGCAAGGGCCTGCCTGACTGGATACATTGTGGATATATAGGTATGACCTGCCATTATATAGTTTAGGTGCAAAGGAGTTTAACCACCTCCCGTCCGGCCGTTGTATATAAATGGTGGCAGTGCAGGGTTCCCAAGGAGCGCCCCCTGCTTGTGCGCGCTCCTTGGGAACGCACAGCACCGTGATCCAGTGCCCGCTGTGTCCTCCGGACACAGTGGAACACTGATCGACATACGGGACCTCTGTACGAGGTCCCGATCATGTGATCACTGAATGGCCAATCAGTGATCATATGCAGAGTAGTAGGCAAGATGTCACTTCTGACATCATTGCTTACTACGTGTGAAATCTGTGAATGATCACAGAGGTCACATGGTACAAGGCTATTCACAACAGCCTTGTACCATGTGACAAGATGTGACCAATCACAGCTCACACAGTAGTTCTCAATGGCTGCAAGAATGCAGCCAGAGAGAAGGAGGAATGATTGCTTTTATAACCTTTATGGTTGTAAAAGCAATCAGTGTAAAAAAAAAAAAATATTCATCACCCCCCACAAGTAGTACAGTGTCACCATGGTGACACTGTACTGCTAGGGTGACAGTATGTAAAAAAAAAAAAAAAAAAAATCTAAAAAAAAAAAAAAATCTAAAAAAATGTTTTTAAATTATAATTTTTGGTTATAAAGTAATTTGGGTTATTTTTTTTTTTTACTAAAAAGATGACTGAACAAATGTTGGTCAAGATTTATGATGAAATAATATTTACTTGCAAAATTTTATAAGAAATACACTTTTTTTCAAAATTTTTGGATTTTTATTTACATAGCAAAAAAAATAAAAATCCCAGCAGTGAATAAATACCACCAAAATAAAGCTTTATCTGTCTCAAAAAAATTCATATGGGTACAGTTTTGCATGACCGCGTAATTGTCATTCAAAGTGAGATAGCACTGAAAGCTGAAAATTGGCCTGGACAGGAAGGGGGTGAAAGTGTCCGGTCTGGAAGTGGTTAATGCTCATGTACACGGGATGTTTGGAAAACTTTTCTGAATGATGGAAACTGACTGCTGGAAAACGTAGGTTAAAAAACGTCTGTTTGGCCGCATTTGCATACAGCATTTATGTGCGTTCGCGTTTAGAAGCGTTTTTATTAAAGATAACCTCAGGAGACCTTCCCAAATGCCCAGAATGCACTGAAAAAAACAGGAAGAAATTATCTATTTCAGACATTTTGAGATAAATATAGAGAGCAGAAGCAGAGAGAGCAGTATGTGTTGAGATGACCTGTCTTTTCTGGTTGTATTCACTATGGATCCCATCATGAGCATAATGCGGCGCGTTCTACCATTTTATCCTTCACACCAAACCTGGAACTGACTGCGCTGGTGTACTGGGTCCATTTGTGTACATGGAAAAAGCTTTGCATGCATTTCTGATGATGAAAAATGCTCTGGACAGCATTTGGATATGGAACAGTTAAAAAACGCTTCTAAATGCAGATGGATAGCCATAGATGGATATTTTTTTTTGATCAGCCAGTGGGTTGATTAAAAAAAAAAAAAAAAAAAAGCAGATTCCCCCATCCACACAAGCTAGGTACATGGAGAATTCCTCCCCGCTGTGCTATTGTATTCCAACATCAGGGGCACCTCCGCTGTCAGAATACCCTGCAGCTGATTGAGGCTCTCTTTGCATGTAACCATCCAGATGAACGCTTACATGTGAGCAGCAGTGCGGCCAGCCATTGCTTTGTAGAAATTTGAGAGTCGCCGCTGACAGGTGCGGCTGTTTTCACACCCTCTGCGCATGCAGCATTTACAACCACCAGCAGGGATTTGCTGATTCTTTGGGGCAGCAGCCCCTGGCCGCTGCACTGTGGCCATCTAAATGCAGACTTTGATGAGTAGCTTGTCATAATAAATGTACAATAGGACAGCCATATTTTATATACACAGGATTCTTGCTTAGTCACACAGGATGATTTTATTTATTTATTTCAGGTACTTCTATAGCACTGTCAGTTTATGAAGCACTTTACATATATATTGTACATTCACATCAGTCCCTAACCCTCAAGGGGTGTACAATCTAAGGTCCCTAACCCTCAAGGTGCGTACAATCTAAGGTCCCTAACCCTCAAGGGGCGTACAATCTAAGGTCCCTAACCCTCAAGGGGTGTACAATCTAAGGTCCCTAACCCTCAAGGTGCGTACAATCTAAGGTCCCTAACCCTCAAGGGGCATACAATCTAAGGTCCCTAACCCTCAAGGGGTGTACAATCTAAGGTCCCTAACCCTCAAGGGGCGTACAATCTAAGGTCCCTAACCCTCAAGGGGTGTACAATCTAAGGTCCCTAACCCTCAAGGGGCGTACAATCTAAGGTCCCTAACCCTCAAGGGGCATACAATCTAAGGTCCCTAACCCTCAAGGGGCATACAATCTAAGGTCCCTAACCCTCAAGTGGCGTACAATCTAAGGTCCCTAACCCTCAAGGGGTGTACAATCTAAGGTCCCTAACCCTCAAGGGGAGTACAATCTAAGGTCCCTAACCCTCAAGGGGTGTACAATCTAAGGTCCCTAACCCTCAAAGGGGATGTACAATCTAAGGTCCCTAACCCTCAAGGGGTGTACAATCTAAGGTCCCTAACCCTCAAGGGATGTACGATCTAAGGTCCCTAACTCACATTCATATATACACAGGACAATTTAGACAGGAGCCAGTTCACCTACCAGCATGTCTATGGAGTGTGGAAGGAAACCAGAGTACCTGGAGGAAACCCATGCAGGCACAGGGAGAACATGCAAACTCCAGGCAGGTGGTGCCGTGGTTGGGATTTGAACCAACGACCTTAGTACTGCCAGGTGGAAATGCTAACCATTTAGCCACTGTGCTGCCCTACTCCCTAAAGTGGTTGTAAAACGTAAACATTTTAACTTTAATGAATTCTCTGCATTAAGGTAAAAAATGATTTCAGTATGTGTATCGCCCCCTCACCCCCAGTATACCTGAGCCCAATCTCAATCCAGCGCTGTGCCCATCTGCAGATCTCACAGGCTTGCTGCTGTCAGTCAGATCCTGTGATGAGGGAGCAGGAGGGGGGGGAGAAATACTTTGTTGTCTAGGTCTATAGATGCAGACAGTGCGGCTCAGCATGGAACCCACAGGTGTGCCTCCATAGGAAGCTGTTACCTATGGTGGCACACCAAGAAGACCAGGAATGATGGCGGGAAACCCGAGAAGAGAAGGATCAGGGCTGCTCTGTGCTATACCTTTGCACAGTGCCGGTAGTATAAAATGTTTGTTTTTTTTTTAAAAGAAAAATATGTTGTTTTACAAGCGGCCATATGCGACCATTCAGTCCAGTCTTCAGGCTACATGCAAAACAAAATGTAGACAGCCTCCATCCATGCTGTACAGTGCAGATGGACATATCTCCTGTTGTGCCTATTGTATTTAGACAGCCGGCACCACTGTTGGGCCACCAATTGTAAGCCCTACTTCAATTTTTCAGTCGAAGGATGTTGGGTGACAGACAGGGTTGCCCAGAGAGCAAATATCGTACAGTGTATGGCCAGCTCTAGATTGGTGGTTTACACAGATTAACTGAACACAGTACAGTCTGCATGTGGCTTATCCTGCATTTTTTTTTCTGTTCGTTAGGTAATACAGCAGACCTAGGGTACACTATGTGGTTTATCCTGCATGTTTTCTGTACATTGGAAAATACAGCAGAGCTCTAGAGTATTAGCCCAGTCCTTAAAGTGGAACTTCACTCTCTCAGTCAACATTGATTATTTGTAACCATTACACTGCTAGAATTAGCAAATAGATAGGACAGTATATCATACTTTTTTTTTTTTTTTTTTTTTTCCATTTCTTCACTTACTTCCTGGTTTCCATGCCTAGGCAAATGATGTCATACATCCCAGGAGTCTTCAGGAGGGAAGGAAGGGTTTGTTGAGCTAAGCATTCTCCCCCTGCCTGAGGTAAGGGCAGATGGATTGCAGGAAGTAAATGCTACATGAATCATCTGCCCTTACTTAAGATAGCCATGGTCATAAATGCTAGGGGGGGGGGGGTGTTTTTCAAAGTAATTTCTCAGCAAAATAAAGCATGGAGACACGGATGGATAGGTGAGTTTGCTTTGAATAACAAAAATGAATTAAATAGCGTTTTTGGTTTGTGGTGCTCAGATACAGTATAGTTCTGCTTTAAGCCGGGTACACACGGGACAAAAATCGGTCCAAAATGGTCAGTTCAGCTCCCCGTCTGACAGAAGTTGGTCTCATGAGCATGCTGAAACCCTAGTAGCTAACCGCCACCCGATCAGCTCTGTCAGCCAATGGCTGCGAACACTGATCAGTGTGTCCTGGCGGGGGGGGGGGGGGGGGTCCATCTGTCAGAACACAGTAGCTCAGTTCAGCACTGCACTAACATCGCATAGTTAGTCAGTTTTTTTTTTTCTTTCGCTCAGCTTGCTGGGTTGAACAAAAAAAAAAAACTTAAGTGTGTACCCAGCAATAGGAGGTTGGACACTTAGTAAAAGGTTGTCAGATTTATTTTTTTCAGCTATTTAGCTGGAGTGCTGATTGCAGTGTCGCACATACAGACAGGTGTTGGCCCAGCTCTGCCCTTCCCCCCCCCCCCCCCCCCATTCTGAGCTTCATTATTGATCAGCGTGGCTCCCCATTAAAGTAATATTAAAGGCAATTAAAAAAAAAATATATAACTGACATGGTATACTTTCTTGCTCTGTGCAGTGGTTGTGCACAGAGTAGCCCCAATCCTCCTCATCTCGGGTCCTCTGCCGGCGCTCCTGGCCTCTCCCTCCTGCCAGGTGCCCCCAGAGCACACTGCTTGCTATAGGGGCACCCAAGCTGGATTGCTCCCGAGCCACTGCTCTGCATGTCCATTCACCCACAGAGCCATGGCTCCACCCCGCTCTCTCTCTCTCTTCATTGGCTCACTGGCTGGGATTGACAGTCAATGGCTTCCGCTGCTGTCTCAGCCAATGAAGAGGGAGAGTCCATGGAGACCCGAGGCTCTCATGCACATTGCTTGACTGTGTTATTTAGGCAAATTTCAGGAAAGTCATTAATCTGATGAGGCACATTCATAAAACAGTCAGCAGGCCAGACCCAGGGAGGTGGCACATGTAGCCACAGAGCTGCAAGCAATCAATATTGGAGTCACCCTTCTGGCTGTGCTGTATTTGAAAGGTGTATGAGTCACAAGACTGGCTGAACAAGTATTTTAATCAAGTATTGATCTGCTAGGCCATAGTTCCCATGTAACATTGGAAAGTGAATGTAGCTGATCTTGTGCCTCTCATTTTCTAGGATGGCCGAGGCTTTGGCATTGGGGAGCTGGTCTGGGGCAAGCTGCGTGGCTTCTCGTGGTGGCCCGGCCGAATCGTTTCCTGGTGGATGACTGGAAGAA